ATATTTCGATCCAGGTATTGGGCATATTGTATCTGGTTCAGGGATTGAACTAACACAAATAGGTAAAAGTAAACGTAACGCCTATATCCCCAGTTCCCGGGGTCATCCATGGTGTATTTTTGGAGACTTTGAAATTCAATCAGTTGTTTTCTACGTTTGGTTATTATGGCGGGTTTATATAATAATGAACACAAGAATAATAATTCTGTAAATCTATGTGTATGTAGAAAAGGTGTTAAGATTAGATAAAGAAAAAAAAAAAACTCCTAATTAATAAACTGCCGCACATCTTGTTAGAATATATGACATATTTCTGAAATAGGATGTGTTTGACAATCACAAGTCCCGAGTCGGTAACTGGTATCGACCAATACTAAAAAAGAAGTGGTAGGATGTGTCGGATTTAAATGACATTTTATTCAACCGCAAATGAACAAAGTTCCCCCCTCCAAAATGTTTCAGTGAGAATGATTGTCTCTTAGGAAATACTCGCTGTCCGTAACTGCTAGATAGTAACTAGGAAACGGATTGGAAGTTTTTCTCTCATTCATAGTCTCTCTATTTCTCTTTCACTCTCAAGTAGTCGGTAAAGTTTTCTTAGGACAATAAAATCAGCCAATACATACCATATGCGTTGTGTTATTTAAAACTACGAGAAAAAATACATCTTTCTCTTGGTAAAAATATGTCCGATTTGATTTTCATTTCTCAAATAGAGAGTCCAACATTGGTCTCAAGAAAGCCGTGGAAACTACAGTCGCAAAGCAACCAACTTGACGGTGGTTATCAAACACCTTTTCGTGCCACATACTTCATATCGTGTATGAAGTTGAGACAGTGGCACGGTTCGAAGAAATCAAATAAAACAAATAAGTTATATACTGGCATTGGTTATTATTTGATTTATGTGGCCGAGTGGTTAGAACGTTCGCATTCTGATCATGAGACCCGGGTTCAAATCTCATCATGGTCGATTTGTAAGGAAGGAGACTTCCTGATGTTATCGGAATGGAGGGGTCGATCCCAGCGTGGGGCTGCTTATTATAGTTTTCCACGGGTTGACTCAAGCCTTGTTAGTAAAATTGGGTAGACGGAAACCTTGGAGGCCGTTGTTAGCTGTGCTACTACGAAGTCATCGTGGCTTAGGGTCTTGTTCAAATTGTTAATCCCGCTAGATAACACGCTCTTTCCCAGAAACTTTAACTAAGGTCTGTTCAGCATAATTGCAGTATAAACCACAGACTACTGTGGATGTTGAATAAACACAAGTGCGCATGAGCAAGCGTTTGTAATAAGGATTGACTAACCGCCCTAGTAGACAGATATCCTCGAATGGGAATGGCCAGCTATACTAAAAATACTAGTAAATGCATATCTTCTAGTATCCATATATATATATATATATATATATATATAAAGAAAGAACAGTAAGATATATAATCCGGTGCTCAATATAAATTTACAGAGCATTATTCGCTTGAGGATGAAATGGAACTAATGTCTTTAATTTAATTACAAAATTAAATTCGGAGCTTTCAGCTTCCATTTTTGAAACATGGTTAGAACTGTGTAGCGGAAAAAACATATTTTAAATCAATTAATTTATAATATATATATATATATATATATTTCTGGCTATTACCCCCTATTTTTCATTCTTATCGCTTGCTTGTGTTAGTCGTCCGAATTTCTCAGATGATCAATTCTGATAAAGAATTTATTTTAATAGCTTACTAGCTTTCTCATATTCACCAAGTCGTTTAACATCCGACGACCGTTAATTAAAAAGCATAAACCGGAAATAAAGTAACATATACGGATATCTTTAAACTCGATTTTTTTAAAACTGTGGTTTCTCGTTGTGCATTAGCAACACCTTTCAAATTAGGCTCTCTGTCTTTAATGCACTGTTTTCTTTAAGGACGTACGCGATCACGGCTCTCCACAACTTCATGTCCGTGGTAGCCCTAAGCAAAGTTTAATGCATTATCATCCCTCTTTATATCCAATCTGTCATTCATTAACGTAAATTCGTTTGGTAAATTACTCGTTCTTTCATTTTGTACTTTTTGCCGCAATTTTGTCTTGTGAGTGTTAAATTCCCCAAGCCTAAGACATTTCAAACTTTTCTTTCTGATTTGGTTTCGTTTGTTTTGTTTTACAGCATATCAACCTCAATGGATTATTTAATGCCGACAGTTTTTTTAGTGGTCATATATTTTTTTTCAAAAAAGTATTGCTGATAATATTTTTTCCTTCAAAAATCTATTTCTGGTAATATTTTTTCTTCAAAAATCTATTTCTAGCAATATTTTTTCTTCAAAAATCTATTTCTAGCAATATTTTTCTTCATAAATCTATTTCTAGAAATATTTTTTCTTCAAAAATCTATATCTAGCAATATTTTTTCTTCAAAAATCTATTTCTAACAATATTTTTTCCTTCAAAAATCTATTTCTGGCAATATTTTTTCTTCAAAAATCTATTTCTAGCAATATTTTTTCTTCAAAAGTCTATTTCTAGCAATATTTTTTCTTCAAAAATCTATTTCTAACAATATTTTTTCCTTCAAAAATCTATTTCTGGCAATATTTTTTCTTCAAAAATCTATTTCTAGCAATATTTTTTCTTCAAAAGTCTATTTCTAGCAATATTTTTTCTTCAAAAATCTATTTCTAGCAATATTTTTTCTTCAAAAGTCTATTTCTAGAAATATTTTTTCTTCAAAAATCTATTTCTAGCAATATTTTTTCTTCATAAATCTATTTCTAGAAATATTTTTTCTTCAAAAGTCTATTTCTAGCAATATTTTTTATTCAAAAATGTATCGCCGCTAATATTTCTTTCAAAAATGTATTGCTGGTAATAATTTTTCTGGTATTAAAATCTATTTTTACACTTTCATAGTGTTTTGACCCCAGTTTCATCAGAGTCCTTGCTGTCGGACGTAGTTTATCGTCTTACCCAGGACGTGGATGGAGTTTATCGTCATACTCAGGAGGGTTTTTTTTTTCCGATTTTAAGCATAAATATTTTTTGTGACCATTTTTCTTACAATTTCACCGCTGCTTTTGTATTCTTTTCATGGTATACACAGAAAGCGTCTGTAGAATTCTTCTACATTCGTTTTGATTCATTTTCATTCGTTTTTTCTTTTTAAATAATTCGCCTCAGGCAAGGCGATAATGACACTAAGACATTAGGGGCTACTAATGAAAAGAAAATTAAAAAAAAAATTTGAAGGAACCGAAAAACAGATGAACCGGGCGATAGGCAAACATATCTACTCCAAGTGAGGTAAGATAAAAATTAAATTAAAATATAAGATTTTAGCGTCCAGACAGAGACGTTAGAAGTGTAGTGTTGAAGTAGACATTAAAATGAACCGGAAACCAAATTGTAGTTGGAGCTCTAGGACTGGTTGGAAAAGATTCCAGTAGACTAATTGAAGGGATTCCTGGAAGTCTATGCCTCAAGGAGATACAGAAAATTGTTCTGACAAGTACAGCCCACACCTTACGAAGGGCTTTATCTATGTAATCTTTTTTTTTTTTTGTCAGTGGAAAGTGTCATGACGCCATTTCTAACCTTAGGTCCCTGGGCGGGACCCGGAAAGAAATGTGTAAACGCCAGAAATCAAAGAAAATAAAAAGAATAATAATAAAAAAATTGAAAAAAAATCAAAGAGGGACGAAAGACAAAAATATAATTCGAGAACAAACATTTTTAAGCTGGTGATTTCAAAATGTCCGAATTCTTTTCTCCATCTGTAAAATAACTGTCCAGTATTTACAACTGTGGAACAAGATAGATATGACATAGCCGTTTAGTCATTATTTTCATTGGGAATTTTTCTAGGGGATTTTTTCGCGAGAAAAAAAAAAAGATACTTTACTTAGGTTCCAGAAGGCAACTGTCAACCAGTTTTACAGCAACTAATGAAGAGAGCGTCAATCAAAATTAGTTATATAGATTCTTTCCTATTGGATTTGTCCCACCCCGGCTTTTTGATGTCTCCTACTAGCAGTAATAAAGGTAATAGTCTTAAGCTGTTCAATTCCTGAGATGAAATAATGTTATTACATTTTCATAAGATTCTCTTATTTTTCTTATTTATTGTTTGTTGTAGAAATATTACACACTTTGGCGATCATGTATCATTCGATACATGACTGACGAGGCAGATTTTCCCCGCAGTAGGTTGCCATTTCTTTCTGCAGCAGACAAGTTGCCATCCAAGGCTATATGTCCTGTTATTTACCCATAGCTGAGGGAAGCAGAGTTTTCATGCCTTTCCCAAGGGTAGTAGCACGTAAGTGAATGTAACGGATTCGACTGGAAAATCAGTCAGTCAGTTATGTGTCATGCGTGATAGACGCTTAGGCGATCATGTATCTTTCGATACATGACTGACGAGGCAGATTATTTACAGCAATATGTTGCCATAGCTATAGAACCTGGTCTGTTCTGCTATTTACCTATAGCTGGGAGAAGAAGATGATTCATACCTTTCCCAAGGGTATTAGCACGTAAGTGATTGTAATGATTTGACTGGAATTCGAACCCGGCTCTCCGATTCCTCAATCCGAGCCGCTATCCATCAGTCCACTGTGCCTTCTCTACGTATTAAACGTACTCGTCTTAAATTAGTTGAAATACTTAAATGATAGTTTTCTTCTTAATTTTTGGTCGAATAGTAGATGTAATATTTGTAAGTTAACGAAGTGTTATCATTATTAATTCGCGGCAATTCATCTTCTTTTTGTTGCTTGTTTACGACTAATGACATAGTAATCTTAAGCGGTGTCGATTTTGCAGATAACGCAAGTGATTAATCGTTGATTAGTTTTCTCTTTTAAAGAAAATGGCAGTCCTGTCTGCATAACATGTGCGGTATACTGCACACCCGTGACAAAGAACAAACCTAAAAGTTTCATTGCATCCCACATTAAATCCAGACATGTCGAATGACAACATTGGTGCCGCAATTTCGGCGAGTAATGGCGCCATTTCATATGTTTACCTGCAAAGAAGGTTGACCAGGTCAGGGCGAGAGTAATGTCCTGGCTAGCTGGAGAGTTAATGATGAAACACTCTACAATATGATAACACTCCTTATAGGTAACAGCTGGCAAGTAAACACAAAAATACACAGATGATTATATATATATATATATATATATATATATATATATATATGTGTGTGTGTGTGTGTGTGTGTGTGTGTGTGTGTGTGTGTGTGTGTTGTTCTGTTTCTATAAGACAGTATGTAAATTAATATGGACATATATGAATATTTATCAACATATAAAATATATTAACATATAGAAGCACACACACACACACACACACACACACACACACACACACACACACACACATATATATATATATATATATATATATATATATATATAAAAGAAAAGCAAAAGCCGTGGGAGTAACCGACGGACAACACTCCAAACCCTAAAACTCTTATTCAGAAAGAGTCTCGATTAAAACCGACAATACTGAATGAAAAAAGAAAGCGTAAAAAGGCCCAAAGGCAAACTTAGTTACTCATCAAGTGCTCGAAGCCTAGATTGCCTAGATCGTACAAAATCGCTTACCAACGTTAAATCCTATGAAAAGAGGAGATCCTCAGACAACTTGAACGTATATATATATATATATATATATATATATATATATATATATATATATGTGTGTGTGCGTGTGTGTGTGCGTGTAAAAATTCCAATATAACTAAAAGTATATCTTTAAAAAGTCAATATAAGTAAAGACTACTAAGACATATCACTATATTAATTGAACTATATACTTAGTTCATATCATGTTAACTGAAAAAAAAAAAAGAATTCGTGGATTTACCATATTACAAAATTCATATAAAAATTCTCACTTGAAATTTTGAACTTTAGCGTTGCGACTTGCACGTTCCGAGATTGTGCAACCGTCAATAAATAGCACATTCTTAAAAAAACATCTTTCGGTCTACAAACAATTATTTCGTCTTCAAGTTTTAACTTTAAAGAAAAAAATCACAGCCTGACGATAGAGACATGGATCTTCGAAAGTACTTGCTTAACTTAAAAAAAATATACACTAGGAACATCTGACAACAGTTTTATAAATGAGGATCACATCATTCAATGGATTAACAGCATTTTAATGCATACATTATGTTCTACTAGCGAAGTGTTTTAGCCATTAATCGCATTAACATTGTTGATTTATTCTATGTCTGATTATGTTTATATATATATATATATATATATATATATATATATGCAGATTAAATATGGATCTGAATCCAACAGGATCATAAAATAAAGAACATATATTTAGCAATCTAACTTGTTTCGCTTTTATTAAAGTTTTATCAGAGATTGAGAGGAAACAAACAAAATGACGAAAATATTGGTATTTTCAATTGTTTCGGTCAATTCTCATTGATCAAACACGTATCACGTGCATTAAAACCGTAGATAATTCTATACTTATGTAAGTTTATGAAGATTCTTGTATGTCTAAGTGGGCGTTGGATGGTAATGTGTATTCGTAATGGTTTTTGTGTGTCTGTCTAGTATAGCTTCTGAATGACTTAATCTTTGGGCGTTTATCCCGTGCAGCGAGGCGTCACATTTATGACTGGCCTCTTTATCATATATTCTTTGCTGAATTCCCCTCCCCCATATTAACTATTTAATAAGCAAACATATTATTTTCTATTTTCAAATGTAAATTATTTTCAACGAAGTTATCAAACATAACCTGATGACGAGATAAAAACATTAAGTCTTGAAATAGAAATTTCCGTGTCGTAATGTAAAATATTTTTAAAAAATATCATTAATATATATATATATATATATATATATATATATATATATATATATATATAGTGATAAATATACATTTTTCTAAATGGTCAGATATAAATATATATTATATGCACTGAAGTATGTGTAGGTTTTGAATGACTTAATTTTTGGGAGGTCAGCCCGTGCAACGAGGCGTCACATTTATGACAGTGTAACCCGGATATAAGAGAGTTGTCGGGACCGGTGAAGAAGTATCTTATATCCGGGTTTCTCTTATATCCGGGTTTGGTCTATTTTGTTTAGGTAAGTATGGGCTCTAATTTGGGACCAGAGAAAATCTCTCTTATATCCGGGTTTCTCTTATATCTGGGTCTCTTATATCAGGGTTACACTGTATAAGTTAGATTCCTTAAGAATAGAATCGAAGTAAGATGGCGATGTAATGTAATGTTTTAGGCGTGTGTTTATAGTTGGTAATAATGTTATTATTAAGTTTTCAATGTATTTTCTCTTTAAAGAATTATATTCTTTTTTTTTTAAATTATGGTAGCATTAATTAAATCAAGTTATGTATAGCCTCGTTTCCATGCAGAATAAGAGTGTTAAATCTTTTGTCCAGATTGTTCTTGTTTTTGTCGATCACGTGATATCTCCTGCACATTAACATTTTAGCACTGTAAACTATTTATTTGGTAAATCCCGGTATTTAAAGTGAGGTGGGGTTTATTCATCTTACTCGTCTTGGATTGTCTTGGAGGCGGTGGTAATTACACTAATTTCTTTGTGGGTTTATTAGAAAGCGCATTGAAGGAAATAATTGTGAATTTTGTGTAATCTTTGTTAGAAATGTTATTGTTGGTGTCTGTTTTTTTTGGTTTTGTGGATTTTGTGAGGTCAATTTTTAGCGTTGAGGATAAATTGATGTGGGTAGAGAGTAGTGGAGAAGTTTGAATGTTTTCTCTACATATTTCTTTTCTTCATTTACGTATTTCGGGTTATATATATATATATATATATATATATATATATATATATATATATATATATATATAAGAACATAGAAGTCAACACTTAGAGGCGACAGTCTGTTTCATGCAGTATGCAATTGTCTGGATCTAACTAACGCCTTTATCCACTTAACATGGCACGTGAAATTAGAACAGTCTACCCCAGTGAGCGAAATAAACGGTTCAGTTCGACATTCCAACCACCTGAAGTAGCGTACAACGGCCGAAACGTTGTAATAAATATGGCGACAAAGATGAGGTCAATAGTCCGAATAATGTAAATAGTGTACATAATACCTCATCTCAGAAATATAGAAAGATATCCTTTCTTTTATTGCTACAAACGTTATTTTTAATGGGTAGACCTATCTGAGTGGCTAGCACTTTTTCTTTCTTAATCAGTGAAACTAATAACAAGCATAGGTTGAGAGGTTTCTGACTGGAATCGAACCTGTATCCCCTTTCTCATCAAGGAAACGGTTTCTATAGCCGAAATTTGTCTTTAATAATTCGGTTACTGATAATTTGTAGTGCAAAGTTTGAATAGAATATTTAAATTTTGCCCCGCTAGTGGGGCGATGCTTACAGTACCAGGTGTTCCCAAGTTGTCGCCCATTTAAGTACTGACATGGCTCTACGATGCTTTACTTCGGTGGAGCAAATTGTGTATTCCTTAAATAGACTATTTTTGAATAGTCTATTTAAGGAATACACAATTTTTCTCTTCGAGACTTCTACGAATTTACATCTGCTAGCTTTAGTTTCGTACTCGAAACGTAAATAACAGACATTTTTTAATGGATATTTTTTTTTATCTGATATTATTTTTAGTGGGTACAGATGACTGAGTTGCCATCACCTTCCCAGACCAACGTAGATTACTAAATAGAAGATCAGAACTTATCTTAAAATGCAGACATATTTTTTAAGACGTTACTTAAAAATCGAAAACCAAAAAATAAAAAAGCGACCAAAAAAAAATAAAAAAGCAAAAAAACAAAAAATAAATAAATAAATAAAAAACAAAAAAACGAATAACTTGTTAGATATCACAATGAAAAATGAAAATATACACACTATCTGCAACTTAAATAATGTAACTTAATTTTGGGAAATCCAAAATTTTTAACTAAACAAAAAAGTTAACCAAACCTTAAACAAATAAAAGTAAACAAAAAATCTAAATAAATATATTTCTCTCTCGCCCGCTCGCTCTCTCCCTATCTATCTATGTGTCTATCTATCTATCTATCTATCTATTTGTTCATTATCTTTCTCTCTCTCTATCTATCTATTCATTAAGTTTCTCTCTTTCTTTCTATCGATCTATCTATAAATATATATATATATATATATATTTGTTCATCATCTTTCTCTCTCTCTATCTATCTTTTCATTAAGTTTACCTCTCTCTATCTATTCATTCTCTCTTTCTCTCTCTCTCTATCTATCTCTGTATTCATTCTATCTTTCTTTCTATCTATCTATCTATAAATATATCTTTCTCTCTCTCTATCTATTTGTTCATTAAGTTTCTCTCTTTGTTTTTATCTATCTATCTATCTATCTATCTATCTATCTATCTATCTATCTATCTATTTGTTCATTATCTTTCTCTCTCTCTATCTATCTATTCATTAAGTTTCTCTCTTTCTTTCTATCGATCTATCTATAAATATATATATATATATATATATTTGTTCATTATCTTTCTCTCTCTCTCTATCTTTTCATTAAGTTTATCTCTCTCTATCTATTCATTCTCTCTTTCTCTCTCTCTCTCTATCTCTGTATTCATTCTATCTATCTATCTATCTATCTATCTATATCTCTATCTATCTATCTATTTGTTCATTATCTTTCTCTCTCTCTACCTATCTATTCATTAAGTTTCTCCCTTTCTTTCTTTCTATCTATCTATCTATATATATATATATATATATATATATATATATATATATATATATATATATATATATATCTATTCTTATCTTTCTCTCTCTCTATCTTTTCATTAAGTTTATCTCTCTCTATCTATTCATTCTCTCTTTCTCTCTCTCTCTATCTATCTCTGTATTCATTCTATCTATATTTCTATCTATCTATCTCTCTATAAATATATCTTTCTCTCTCTCTATCTATTTGTTCATTAAGTTTCTCTCTTTGTTTCTATCTATCTATCTATCTATCTATCTATCTATTTGTTCATTATCTTTCTCTCTCTCTACCTATCTATTCATTAAGTTTCTCCCTTTCTTTCTATCTATCTATCTATCTATCTATCTATCTATCTATCTATCTATCTATCTATTTGTTCATTATCTTTCTCTCTCCCTATCTATCTATTCATTAAGTTTCTCTCTTTCTTTCTATCTATCTATCTATAAATATATATATCTATATATATATTTGTTCATTATCTTTCTCTCTCTCTCTATCTTTTCATTAAGTTTATCTCTCTCTATCTATTCATTCTCTCTTTCTCTCTCTCTCTATCTATCTCAGTATTCATTCTATCTTTCTATCTATCTATCTATCTATCTATCTATCTGTCTGTCTATAAATATATCTTTCTCTCTCTATCTATTTGTTCATTAAGTTTCTCTGTTTGTTTCTATCTATCTATCTATCTATCTATCTATCTATCTATTTGTTCATTATCTTTCTCTCTCTCTACCTATCTATTCATTAAGTTTCTCCCTTTCTATCTATCTATCTATCTATCTATCTATCTATCTATCTCTCTCTCTCTCTCTCTCTCTCTCTCTATATATATATATATATATATATATATATCTGTTCATTATCTTTCTCTCTCTCTCTATCTTTTCATTAAGTTTATCTCTCTCTATCTATTCATTCTCTCTTTCTCTCTCTCTATCTATCTCTGTATTCATTCTATCTATCTATCTATCTATCTGTAAATATATCTTTCTCTCTCTCTATCTATTTGTTCATTAAGTTTCTCACTTTGTTTCTATCTATCTATCTATCTATCTATCTATCTATCTATTCATTCTCTCTCTCTTTCTATCTATCTCTTCATTATCTTTCTATATATTTATCTGTCTGTTGGAATATCATGCCTGAAGACAATGAATCAAGTAAGACAATATTAAGTCAATTAAGTTTCATTTACCTGTTCACAATCCCATATCAACATTGTCGTCCGAAATCAACACAGTGCGAAATTACATATATGCAATTTTAATGGCGAACAGTTCGATTCTGATCAGCCAACATTTCGCCTAACATGAAAATAACCAATTCTGTTTGCAGGATGACAAGTGTAAAGGAAATGTCTGGCTAAATTATGCAGGAAATGTTTTCAGGAATCTGCAATGACGCATGCATAATAGAAAAAAATATCGCAACTATTTGACGATATTTGTACAAAAATATATTTACCAAACTCTTTATTGTTCTTTGAATTCGACATTATTCTGTCTGGAAGATACTTCAATAAATTAATTAACGAAAATGAATGGTGAAGTCCAAATTGGTTATATTCTTGTAACGATTCTGATTAAACGATTCTGAAAGAGTCTAGCAGAGATTTTATATTGTATGATTACTCTACCTTGTCTATCAGGGAACATTTACTAACGATTGCTAGATGGCGTATTTTTGCGCAGTATAAAGCAAAAGGAGACATAATTTCCTTTTTTTCTTCCTCTCTTCAATCACGGGATGCTATAGTGACAAGACATAACTCGTTTCCACTTTGGAGGACTTCAGAGTCCTCGAGCCACGTGCCGCATCGTATGCAACTTTATGCTATCATTCTGTTTCCTTCTGTAATATCTCCACTGGTAGTTTAATATTTTTTTCAATCCTGTTTGATCCCAGGTTGATTTTGGTAAAAAAAAAAAAAAAAAAAAGAATGAGCACGATGGAGATACATTTTTATTTATTTATCTCGGTCAATGAGTTCACCAAATTTATCTCGGTCAATGAGTTCACCGAATTTAGGGAGACACTTTGAAAAACAAAAAAAATATTAGAAAATAATTGGAATTTTTTCTTTTTTTCTTTGAGAAAAATTAACCCTTTGAATAATTTTACTTCTTATTAATCTTGAAGTCTTTCGCACCCTTCTCCCCAACCCGAAAAAGAAAAGAATATATTTTTTTATAATTAATATAGTCTGGGATTTCCATTTCAGTTTTGTTTAGGTAGGATATAACGAAAAAAATTACAAAGCTAAAACTTTATTACTTACAATAAACTACAGAAGAACTCAAAATTGATTGCTGAATTTAAGTATTGCATTATTATTTATACTTATAAACTTTTAAAAGGTGAACGATAATTCTTCTGCCGCCGCTTAATATAAATACAGTTTCATCTGCGTAGACCCTTAGTTTTCGTACATAGAATTATTTTTATTTCATGGGTGACTTTCGCTCAATTTCGTATTTAATTTCGATTATTCCTAAATTTATTTCCAAGTTATAAAAATTGTTATCGAACAAATATTTCGTCGCAAAAATCATGCAGAAATCAATTTCAGGATTGTGTAGGAGTAAACATGAACGTACGGAAAATTTTATTTTGAAACACTGTAATTTGAGAATAGTAATTTTTTTCATTTGAAAATGAGCTATTGAAAGTTAGAGAGTTGTGTCCCTTTAATTGTTTTTTATCAGTAGAAGCTAAGATGAAAGAATAAGAAAGCAAACGCAATAATAAGAATTTAGGTGTCTGGAATGTTTTTAATTTGCTCATGGAGTTGTCTTGATTCTAAAATGATGTGATATGTTGGAGCAAGGCCTCTAGGAGTAAAGTAGAAAAAGTGTAACACAGTGACATACTGACATTCGCATTTATTCTATAGCTGGTGTTATCCGCTTTATAGTCGGGCTCCAAACTTTAGACTAACTTATAAGATGGCTATCCCATCATCAGGTTTATAATAATGCCGGGGATACTGTACTGTTATTTTTAGAATGTTTTCTAGAACGTCTACCTCATGACCAGGATCATGTATAAGCATTCCCCTTGTTACCAATATAACTTGTCATCACACAAACGCCTTAGACTTCTTTCTCATCTTCTATCCTGAATAATGTTCCTCCGAAGCTTTATCTACTTGGGGAATTTTTAGAGCATTTTCTGATAAATGCCAAAGCAAAGGTAACATCTTATTAAATAACAGTTTAGCAGATTATTATTTTTTTTTTTAGTGAAAATGTATCTCTACTCTGACTTCCCGAGGTTGACATTAAGGATCAGATGAAAGACAAAATAAAGGAAGTCGATTTTGAGTAGCTGAATTAGCGTGGGAATGATAGATAGAAAAAGATTTTTCAGAGAGTTGTTTATTAACCGTCGAACAATGTTGACGTGTTTTCTTTCGTGTCTGAAACGGCTCCCTAGTAGAAGGAGAGCAAATACATTGGATGGTTAGATACGTAGACGTGATTAATAAAATAGTTAAGTAAAATTCCCTGTGTTGACGTTCTTTTATCTCAAAACAACTAGCGATCACCGGCCTAGAGAGAAAAATGAAGCTTTATTATGGAACGAAGACCGTCGATCAAGACTTCCCCACCTCGAGGGGACTATACAACACTCTAATGTTCTATTTCCTAGGACAATTTTTCGATACCGGAAAACTGATAGTTTCCAATCTTATATTGTAGAAACTCTTTTCCTCGTTATTCTTCAAAAATCCAGCTAGTAGAACAAGATCCCTCATTTCCATATGAATTCTTTCTGATAAGGACAGTTCAATATATATATATATATATATATATATTAAAAAGAAGAGAAGAGAGGTGCCGCAAAAAAACGTTTTTTTGGTTTCTTTTAGTTTATTTAGAAAAAATAATTTATTTTAATAATTTTAAATTTCCACTTTTCTGGTCTTGAAGACCGTCTTCAGACCAGAAACTGGTTTCCAAATTATGTAAAACAAAGCATAATTTTTTTTTAAATAAATCCACATTACAAACAAAAAACGTTTGCGGCACCTCTTTCTTTTTTAATATACATAATTTTCTCTCGTTGGAACCACTACATTATATTTCTTTATATATATATATATATATATATATATATATATATATATATATATATATACCAACAAAGGCCGAATAGCAAAATTTGGTTCACGTTTGAGTATACCGCCGCTATATCTTTATCACAGGGAATTTTGTAGCAGAACTCTTGCCGCCTTCAGAATTATTGGCAAAGTTGTTTAAGCATTGCCTATAGGGAAAAGGTTTCCCCCCCTATAGAAGCTATCAACACTATACCCTGTTTTAAGAACGCTTGTGATTACTTATCCTTGTCGCAATATCGCTCCACTAGCTACCATAGTTACATAAGCAAACTTCATGTGTATATTATGAACAAAACAGTTGTTGATCACTACAACAGAAATAACTACTTGAACGACGAGTCGTAATGATTTCACATTTCTATGTCCACTGCTGATGACTTTATTGTCATTATCGAAGCACTCGATAATAAACTTATCACAGGAGCGATCGACATGGATAACTTAAAAGATTTTGACAAGATGTGGCATGGGGTTTGTAACATAAACATTCAAGATATAGCATATCTGGTAAAGTGTTTCTAAGGCTCCCTCCTCGATTCAACGCACTGTTTTAATAATAACCAAACGTCTCTGATCTTTAGTTAATATCTATGCAGATGATACAACTTTCTATGCGTTCGCCTCCCAAAAATTGAGATGATTGAAACCTGGTACCTGATCTCTCCTCTGACCAAGATCTAACAGCTCAATTGAAAAAAAAAACAGGCTTGTAACATTCAGTAACTTCCAAACCAAACTAGTAATGTTCTATCAAGCAGACGCTTACTCTTCCTGTCAAGTTTTATCATCACAAAAGTGAAATGAGATAGAAAAAGACACATATAACAAGAAACATTGATTAAAAAGCATAATCGCAGTACCTTGTCAGTCGTGTTTAATGAAACTTGTATAAACGATGGGTTGCTACACAAATACATAATCATATAGAGAGTCCGCCAAAAAAAAAAAAATGTATACTCACTTCAGGAAAGGAAAACCTGACTTTAGTATTTTTATCAAATTGTGATAACACCGTTTACTGTATTAGGATATTTTCTCGACAGATGGCGCTACTGCCATGACTGTAGCATTAACAAGTGACGTCTGCAACAGAGTGTACCTACGTAAGATTATTTTAAAGTGGTACTTCAAGCCTGAGAAAGTTGCTGAAGTCCAAAGACAATGGAGCCGTAAGTCTGGAAGGCAACCTCTAAAACATTTTCTTAATAAATAAATAAATATATATATATATATATATATATATATATATATTACAATATCTATACAGTTTTTTTCGTTCCTGAAGTTTGTGTACATTTTTGGCGCACACACACACAATATATATATATATATATGTATATATATATATGTGTGTGTGTGTGTGTGTATGTATATATATGAGTGTGTGCGTGTGTATGTATATATATATGTGTGTGTGTAAGTATATATATATATGTGTGTATGTATGTGTATATATATATATATGTGGGTGTGTGTGTATGTATATATATATATATATATATATATATGTGTGTTTGTACATATATATATATATATATGGGTGTGTGTGTGTATATATATATGGGTGTGTGTGTGTATGTGTGTGTGTAAAAGGACGAAAAGAATATAAATTCATACGCTCATAACATTAATTAAAAAAAAAGGGCTCAAAACAAGAGTAGAGCAATAATTTATTTATTATAAACTGTTACATTGGACCATGTAAGTTACCACGATAAAAAAGCATGTTCCAATGTAACAGTTTATTATATATATATATATATATATATATATATAAGCGTTATCACCCCAAGCAAGGCGGGAAGCCACTAGGATGCAAAAGTTACAGAAAATTTGCAGCAAGATCAGATAGGAGTGATAGAAGAAAGGATGAGGAGGAGGGTAGTGGATAGATCAAGGCAACTGAAGATGTCGATTGACATCACATTTGAATAGCTGGAGATTATAGCTTTCAGGGAAAATGGAATAGGGAAGGGAGTTCCACAGGCGAGAGGTGCGAGACATGATGCTATTGAAGTAGAAGAGACTGCGACATTT